GTTACTGTTGGGTTTTTATTAAAACATTTATTGTAACTCACTGAGTTGTTTCTAAAACTCTCTGCCCGAGTGTTTGAGAATTGGAAAGTAAAATACAGGCGCTTGTCATAAAATTAGAACGTCGTGAAAAAGTTGATTTATTTCAATAATTCCATTCAAAAAGTGAAACTTGTAAATTATATTCATTCATTACACACACACTGATGTATTTCAAATGTTTATTTTATTATAACTGACAACTTAATGAAAACCCCAAATTCAGTATCTCAGAAAATTAAAATATTATTTTTCATTCAACCTTTATTTCTACAGGTTGGTCCCATTGAGCCTCCAGGACTCATTGACAAGAGAGACCTGGTTTAATAAAGAGTGTTGACAACAATGGACAGTTATAAAAAGGCAGACAGATTTTTTTTTTTTTTTAACAAATAGGATAGCTAAAAAAAGAAAAGTAATAAAAAAACATCTAGATTCTAAGGCGAATGTAGAAAACTAAAAACAGGAACTGGTCCCTGCCAGGAGTCCAACAGATTCCTGGTAGGGACCAGTTCCTGTTTTTAGTTAAGTTCACTTAAGACCAATAAAAACAGGATTTTTAGAAATGTCCAACTGAAAAGTCTGATCATGTTCAGCATCAGTACTTGGTTGTTGCTCTTTTACCAGGATTACTGCATCAATCGTGGCACGGAGTGGATCAGTCTGTGTCTCTGCTCAGGTTCTGAGAGTCCAGGTTGTTCTGATCGTGACCTTCAGCTCTTCTGAATTGTTGGCTCTGGTGCATCACATCTTCCTCTTCACAATACTCCATAGATCTTCTATGGGGTTAAGGTCAGGCCAGTTTGTTGGCCAGTTAAGAACTGGGACACCATGGTCCTTAAACCAGGTGCTGGTATCTTTGGCACTGTGTGCAGGTGCCAAGTCCTGTTGGAAAATGAAATCTGCATCTCCATAAAGTTGGTCAGCAGCAGGAAGCAGGAAGTCTCTAAAACTTCCTGGTAGATGCTGTGTTGACCTTTGACCTCAGAAAACCCAGTGGACCAACACCAGCAGATGACATGGCACCAAATCATCACTGACTGTGGACACTTGACACTGGACCTCAAGGAACGTGGATTCTGTGCCTCTCCTCTTCCTCCAGACTCTGGGACCTGGATTTTCAAAGGAAATGCAAAATGTACTTTAATCAGAGAACATAAGTTTGGACCACTCAGCATCAGTCCCAGGCGAGACACTTCTGATGTGGTCTCTTGGTCAAGAGTGGCTTGACACAAGGAATGTGACAGCTGAACCCCATGTCCTGCATACGTCTGAGCGTGGTGGTTCTTGAAGCACTGACTCCAGCTGCAGTCCACTCTTTGTGGATCTCCCCCACATTTTGGAATGGGTTTTGTTTCACCATCCTCTCCAGGTGCAGTTATCCCTTCTGCTTGTACACTTTTTCCTACCACATCATTTCCTTCCCTTTGTCTCTCCGTTAATGTGCTTGGACACAGAGCTCTATGAACAGCCAGCCTCTTTAGCAATGACCTTTTGTGTCTATCCCTCCTTGTACAGGTGTCAGTGGTCTTTTGGACAAGTGTCAAGTCAGCAGTCTTCCTCATGATTGTGTAGCTACAGAACCAGACTGAGACCATTTAAAGGCCTTTGCAGGTGTTTTCAGTTAATTATCTGATCAGAGTGTGACACCAGGTGTCTTCAGTATTGAACCTTTTCACAATATTCTAATTTTCTGAGATACTGAATTTGTGGTTTTCATTAGTTGTCAGTTATAATCATCAACATTAAAAGAAATAAACATTTGAAATATATCAGTCTGTGTGTGATGAATGAATATAATGTACAAGTTTCACTTTTTGAATGGAATTACTGAAATAAATCAACTATTTCATGATATTCTGATTTTATGACCAGCACCTGTATTCATGTTTTAATGGAACTGATTTCAGACCTCAGTCTTAGTGGGAACATGTTTGATTTATAAACAAAATCTGGTGATTTAACATCAGAGACATCCACCCTTTAGAACTAAAAATAATAATGTTAATAAAATATAAAATTAAACCAGCTAAGGGCTGGTTAGGCTGAAAGCACAATTGTTTATTTAGGCTTGATTTGCTCAGATAATAAATTGATTTTCACACTGTTTTTTTTATATAAAATACAAATAAGTAAAAAGTATGTAATATATACAATAAGCAACATCAGATCGGTCGAGGCCCGGGTTAACAACGACCGCCACCGGTGCTGTTGGCAAACGATGTCAGCAGAAATTGTGCTACTGTTAGTGGAACGAGGAGGGAAACATGTCAGGAGACGGAGAGGAAAGTGAAGAATGTAGGACCGAGGGTTGCAACTCTAAATGTGGGGACAATGACAGGCGAAGGTAGAGAGCTGGCTGACATGATGCTGAGAAGGAAGGTACCGTACTTTACGCTGTACACGTCGCGCCGCCCTATAAGTCTCATCAGTCCAAATGTCTAATAAAGTGGAAAAATCCATAAATACGTTGCTTCGCCGTATAAGTCGCATCTATTATGTGTCACCGCTGACGACTCATAAATGTGGGTCGGACCTGGAAATGTGGACCGGTGTTGTGCCAAAAATCAATTGACTGCCACTAGGCGGCCGCGGGGGCGTGCACGGGAGGACCTTAACAGGAATTTAACAAGATTAACACATAAAAACAATTATTTGCTTGCTCACCATTATAAAGGTGTGTCTCAGGTGAACTTTTACTTAATAAATGCACTTTGACGGTCAAATCAGCTGCATTTCTCCAGGGCGGCGCAGCGAGATGCAGCTGATTTCACGGCTGCTGCAGGCAGATGATGGTGGCTGCTATGGCAAACCTATTGTGTCATTAATAGTCACTTTTACTTATTACATGATACAATGGCATGCCCTACTACTCAAGTGCCATCTAGCTGCTGAAAATGTTAGTGTTCAATATTTTCAGTCAGAATGAATGAAACAGTCATTTCTCAGCCAAAAACTGCAACTTATAGGCCGAAAAATCCAGCAGATGTTTTATGTGTCCAAGAGACCAAGTGGAAGGGCAGCAAGGCTCGCAGCATTGGAGCAGGGTTCAAACTGTTTTACCATGGTGTGGATAGAAAGAGACATGGAGTAGGGGTGGTCCTGAAGGAGGAGTTGGTAAAGAATGTAGTAGAGGTGAAGAGAGTGTCAGATAGGGTGATGTGTCTGAAGGTAGAAGTAGAAGGTCTGATGCTAAATGTTGTCAGTGGTTATGCTCCACAGGTTGGATGTGATGTGGAGGAGAAAGATACATTTTGTAAAGATCTGGATGAAGTGATAGAGAGTATTCCCAGGGAGGAGAGGGTGGTGATGGGAGCAGACCTGAATGGACATGTTGGTGAAGGAAACAGAGGATGAGGAAGTGATGGGTAGGTTTGGTGTCAAGGAAAGAAATCAGGAAGGACAGGTGGTGGTGGATTTCACCGAGAATGGAAATGGCTGTAGTCAACACTTATTTCCAAAAGAGGGAGGAGCATAGAGTGACCTATAAGAGTGGAGGAAGGAGTACGCAGGTCGACTACATTCAGTGTAGAAGAGGAAACCTGAGGGAGATTGGAGACTGTAAGGTTGTGGCAGGGGAGAGCGTGGCCAGACAGCATCGGATGGTTGTGTGTAGAATGACTGTTGTTGTGAAGAAGAGAAGAAGAGTCAAATCAGAGAAGACGACGAAATGGTGGAAGATGAAGTTGAAGATGATGTTTGCAGATGACATTGTGATCTGTGGTGGGAACAGGTGGAAGAGAACTTGGAGAGGTGGAGGTATGCACTTGAAAGAAGAGGAATGAAAGTCAGTCGTAGTAAGACAGAGTCCATGTGTGTGAATGAGAGGGAGGAGGTGGAACAGTGAGGCTACAAGGAGCAGAGGTCACAAAGGTGCAGGACTTCAAGGACTTGGGGTCCACTGTCCAGGAACATGGGGAGTGTGGTGAAGAGGTGAAGAAGAGAGTCCAGGCAGGATGGAGTGATGGAGAAAAGTTTCAGGAGTGATTTGAGACAAAAGGGTGTCAGCAAAGATCAAAGGAAAAGTTTACAAGACAGTGGTGAGACCAGCTCTGTTGTATGGTCTGGAGACAGAGACATGGACAAAAAGACAGGAGACAGAGACATGGACAAAAAGACAGGAGACAGAACTGGAAGTGGCAGAAATGAAGATGTTGAGGTTCTTCTTAGGAGAGACAAGGATGGAGAAGATCAGGAATGAGATGATCAGAGGTACAGCACAGGTTGGACAACTGGGAGATAAAGTTAGCGAGGACACACTGAGATGGTTGGGACATGTCCAGAGGAGGGACAGTGGTTTGGACACGTCCAGAGAAGGGACAGTGGTTTGGACACGTCCAGAGGAGGGACAGTGGTTTGGACATGTCCAGAGGAGAGACAGTGGTTTGGACATGTCCAGAGGAGAGACAGTGGTTTGGACATGTCCAGAGGAGAGACAGTGGTTTGGACATGTCCAGAGGAGGACTCTCTGTGGAGACCCTGAAGACAAAGGCTGTTTATGTATAAAATCTGGACAGAGACACTCGTCCCTCCAGGTTTGACGGCCTCATGTTTCTCTGGTAGCTCCTGTATCAACACGTCGTCATATTTTAACATTAACTCATTAAATCAAATAATAATTAGTTTTAAAAGCAAAGGTCGTCTTAAGTTTCTTAGTTTTTATAAATGTAACAAACTGTTCCCGTTAAAAGATTTGTTCCTGGATTAAATCTGTTCTGAGGCCTGAAATCTTTGTTGGTCCTGAACCAGGATCAGTGTTGACGTGTGATGGGCAGCAGTCCAGAACCATGTCCCTCCTCTGGTTTGTCTCCGTCCTCTTTGTCTCTGTCTGTTGTTCATCCCTCACATGATTCATGTTTTCATTCATCCTTTCTTTTTGGTTTCCTGCAACCTTTCCTCACCTCCCTCCCCGTTCTTTGGTTTCCCCTCTGCTCCTCTGCTGCATTGCATCATGGGACGTGTAGGTTTCTACGGCCTGGATGAGTCTGACCTGGACAAGGTGTTCCGGCTGCCCACCACAACCTTCATCGGAGGATCAGAGACGGCGCTGCCGCTGAAAGAGATCATCCGCCGCCTAGAGGTACACCCAGATCTCAGCTTAGAGAAATGATTCAAATGATCTGAGAGCAGAACCAGTGTCCCACAGATCTTCTGTGGAGATCACCTCAAACCAACGGCCGTTTGTCTTCGTTCCTCGGCTCAGATTCATTTTACGGTTTCATCTGACAAACGTTGTGGTTCGTAGTCCGTCAGCTGTTTGGAGCTTTAGCTACAGATGTGTGTGTGTCAGATGGCGTACTGTCAGCACATCGGCGTGGAGTTCATGTTCATCAACGACCTGGAGCAGTGTCAGTGGATCCGGCAGAAGTTTGAGACCCCCGGAGTCATGCAGTTCACTCAGGAAGAGAAGAGAACGCTGCTGGCTCGCATGGTCCGCTCCACCAGGTAAACCCCACCTGGTCCTGTGAACAGTGCGCACGAGCAGGAGACGCGTCATGAATCTGCTGGTGCGTTCAGGTTCGAGGAGTTCCTGCAGAAGAAGTGGTCCGCAGAGAAACGGTTTGGACTGGAGGGGTGTGAGTCTCTGATCCCAGCTCTGAAGACCATCATCGATAAGTCCTCCGAGAGCGGCCTGGAGTACCTCATCATGGGCATGCCTCACAGGTAACACACACCTGAGCACACACAGGGGTGGGTCTGAAGCACAACGAGCACATCAATATAAAACTATTATTATTATTGGTTTAACTGTCATTTATAAATATTATCGTTGGATAGTTTTATTTTAAATCGGTAACGTTGTTGTTCTGTTGTGTTTGAACTTTGTTTTTGTATTTTACTTTAAGTCCATAACCGTTTTCATTTGGTCAGAACCTTCAGCAGAACTTGGTGTTTTTGTGTGTCAGGGGTCGACTGAACGTGTTGGCCAATGTGATCCGTAAAGAACTGGAGCAGATCTTCTGTCAGTTCGACTCCAAGCTGGAAGCTGCAGATGAGGTAAAACATCTGGATTCTGCCTGCAGCCGCAGCAAAATGTCGACTAATTCTTTAATCTCTTTTGTCTGGTTTCATCATGTTCAGTGGGTTCGGTTTAAACTAAAACTTTTATTTAGTGTTTGTGTTCCTGATGAAGCCCAACTAAGTTCAACATCCAGATGTTCTCCATCCTCAGCTGGTTGTATCTTCTGCTGCTTACCAGCAGTTTGTCTGAAAACGGGCTCAGTGAAGACGCTAGAACGTTCTGACCTGCTGTGGTTCTCCACAGGGCTCTGGAGACGTAAAGTACCACCTGGGGATGTACCATCGTCGTATCAACCGTGTGACGGACAGGAACATCACGCTGTCTCTGGTGGCAAACCCGTCCCACCTGGAGGCCGTGGACCCCGTGGTTCAGGGGAAGACCAAAGCTGAGCAGTTTTACTGCGGAGACACAAACGGAAACAGAGTGAGTCTTAAAAAAACACCTCCAGACAATATCCAGTCAGTCTAACACTAAACAGTCATCCAGGAAGTATCCACATCCCAAAATCAGTCCAAGACTAAACAGTCATCCAGGAAGTATCCACATCCCAAAATCAGTCCGAGATTAAACAGTCATCCAGGAAGTATCCACATCCCAAAATAAGTCCGAGATTAAACAGTCATCCAGGAAGTATCTACATCCCAAAATCAGTCCGAGATTAAACAGTCATCCAGGAAGTATCCCCATCCCAACATCAGTCCGAGACTAAACAGTCATCCAGGAAGTATCCGCATCCCAAAATCAGTCAGACTAAACAGTCATCCAGGAAGTATCCACATCCCAAAATCAGTCCGAGATTAAACAGTCATCCAGGAAGTATCT